GTAAGCTTCACACCGCCTTCCTAAATGCATCGCTACAATGGTGGGATTGTCGAGTGAGAGGGTGTACTGGCCTCACCACCTTCCTAAATGTATCGCTGCAATGGCGAGCAAAGAGACTGAGAAGCACTCTCAGCAGGCAAGCTGAGAAGCACTCTCAGCAGGCAAGCTGAGAAGCACTCTCAGCAAGCAAAGTGGCCCACAAGCAGCCCAAAAATTGCCTTCCATCATTGACTCCTTGTGAAGAACAAAGAGACGATGGGAAGAACTTTGCAGGAAAGAACTTCGCTGCTGGCCAGAAAATATTTCCTATACCTCCCATACCAAAGGTGACATCAAGGTAAATAGTAAGGTGGGCGGACTAAACAGTCCATTTTTGGATCAGATTGATCGTCAGAATGCCAAGAAATGGCAGCAAATTGATTTCGAAGAAGAAAGTGAAGAGATGAAGATAGAAGATGAAAAATACGAAACATTTATAGGGGGCGAAGATGAAGAGGCAGAATATGAACAGCCACATTTCTGTCTAATAAACGGAATTAAATAGCCCAAAGTCTTGGAAAAAGTGGTGAAAATATCAAAAAGAAATGGACAAGATTCTTAGTGCAAAGCAGTTAAGTGCTTAAAGAATTGATGACTAAAAAATAAACGTCAAATAAATGCGCAAGAAGTTAATATTCATTAATGATGAACAAAGTTACAAAGGGAAAAATCGAATTACAAAAGAAAAAAGACATCGCATGTCTTAATTACAGTCTACCCCATATGGAACGAATTCGTTCCCTAAGTTTTTCCCAATCCTCGTTCTGTCGAGAGGAAGTGATGTTCAACTCAGCTGCGACATCATCATCATCAACTTCCAACTTCTTGTACTGCTCGACCAAGGACTTAGTTCGCTCAATTCCCTGGGAGGCGTTGCACTTCTTAGCAGCCATCCTCGCCCTGTAGTCATCCATTTTAGCTTGAAGTTCCCTCATTTGAGCAGCCAAGTTAACCATCAAAGAGTCTTCAATCATGACTTCGGAAGAGATTTCTTTCAACTCGTCCTCAGCCTTGTTAATCTCCATACGCAAAGACTCTTTCTCAGCTACGGCTCGAAGATATTGAGTACGTTTGGCCTTTAGTTCAGCATTCTTGGCCAGCATAGAAAGGACCTCGGAGTGGATAACCTTCAACGTCGCTTTAAAATCGGCAGAAAGATTGAGCGATGGAAGCGTCAGTGCTTGCTCCAACTTCGCACTCAAGTGCTCAAGTTCATCCTTGTGCCTGGTAGCACTAGCCCTTCCAATATCCATATCCATGAAGGATACGTACTCAAATATCGATTCCTTCAGGAACTTCAAGTCTTCCTCTGAAGAAGCAGCAGGACGATCAGATGGAGCAGGGCGAGACATCTGGACTTGCCCCTAGGAAGCGAACAAATCCTGGATAGAACGCACAATCCTGTCAACATCCTGCAAAGAAGATTGCCAATATTAAAAATCCTCACTACAACGAACAAGGTAGAAATAGAAATGAAGCAAAGACTACCTCGTCGACAATCGTAGAAGATGGCGGGCCCTCAGCCAAGCTTGCCACCAATAACTCATCCATTCGTGAGGACTTCTCCTTGTCCGAGCGAGAGGATGTTGCCACAACGGGCGGACTCATAGGAGTATCTGCAAAGTTCAAGAGCAACAAATCAGAAACCAATAGCACGAGCAAAGGTAAGACATCAAAAAACTGAATTACCTTCTGCTTCGATGTTTGGGGGGTTGACGCCCTGGGAAGAAGGTGGCTCATTCATGGGTTGTGATGAGGATTCTGGGACTGAAGATGTCTCTTTAAGCGTAGCCCCCTCATCAACCGGTTTGGATGAAGTAGCCTCAGCAGAAGATGATGGAGCAGGAGTTGTCGATGTCAAAGCCCTTAAAGGAGAGGCTGAACTTTTCTGAGAAATCCAAAAGATCATCAGCACACAGAAAAGTTTCAAGTGTGGAAAAGTATACTTGTAAGTAAACCAATTTAATTACCTTCCTCCTGACAATAAGAAGGGCATCATCATCATCATTGACATCATCCTCCAGAATGGGAGATGCTGAGGCTGGCCGTTTGCGGCTTGGAGCACTCTTGGCCGTAGTAGGCTTGGCAGGGAGGGAAGAAGATGGACGAGCAGATTGTTTAGTGCGACGAGAAGGAGAGGGGCTCCGAATAGACAAAGGAGTGACCAAAACAGGAGAAGGAGAAGAAATACTCGGTTGGTCTAATGAATGAAAGGCACGATTGGCCTCAGTCGCAAATAATCTGCACTTCACCGATGGCCAGAGTTGTTCAAAAAGAGGGTGAATGGCGTGGCTAGAATTAAAAGGGGCCAATGAAAAATGATTGGTTAAAAGGAGATTACGAGCATCTATAGCCTCTGCCTCCACTTTAGTAATGGTATGAAAACGGTCAACTAACTGGATCCAAATGAGCAGAGAGGTGCTCGCGCTATCTATAGTGGAAGGGGGATGTACGTAGTTTGTAGTCAAGAAAGGAGGAAAAGGAAAAAAGGTAGAGATTGAATCTAAAGAATAAAAGAAAGAAAAAATGCCCCTTCTGGGCTCCATAGCTAACCCGTAACAGCTAGCAGAAGGACAAGAAATGGATGGTGCACCAAGCGATGGAAAATAGGATCTCAACCACAGTTGAGTAAAGCAAAGAGGTCCACTGCCAGTAGGAGATGCGCCATTCTTCAATTGAGCTTGGAGAGAGGCCATGCCTCTATAAAGGGCAGCCAGAAACAAAGAACATAAATTCAAAGGCTTTCCACGCGCTCATTCGTGCGCTATAGATAAATAATTCAGAGAGGGCTTTATACATGGCTCGCACAAAATATATTTATAAAGTCAAACTAAAAGAAAGGCCACTCGCTCAGTATGGGTAGGCTCAGCACTCGAATGATTGTGGAGGGTCTACTGGCTTGAATAAGAGTCGGTATAGTTTTTACAAAACTTTGGGGCGCTACCAGAAACTAAGATACCTGGGAAAATGGTATCGCCCAAAGATGGTAGATTCACCAGGGCTCCAACATCCCTTAACGTAATAGACATGGGGCCAAGAGGGAAAATAAAGGTGTTATACTCAGGGGACCAAAAACTCAAAGCAATCGAAAAGAGTGCTGAATCAAAAGTAGGGGGCGAATAGAGACTTCTAACAAAT